CTACATCATCAATTTATATATATGGTGCGTGAACCCCTGGGTTCACGCAATCAATCATCTATGTACCTACTTAGGCTGCGCCAGATCAGATTAAATCTAACAAACAGTAAGAAAACGACTATTCATCTTTTGTGGTGGCGAGCATTGTTTTTTCACTCGTAATAAAAATCCCCCACTTTTTCTAAATAACTTACAAACACAGTTTTAAAATCTCAATGCATAGATTTTTATGACCCAGCCATAGGCAACAGGGACATTAAGAGTTACCCTTGACCGCCCGTCTTTCCGTCCGACATTCCGTCCGTCCTACCGTTTCTCTCATTTTTGTTTCCGCACTTTAACTTAAGTTTGCCTCATGCACATTTTATGAAACTCATACAAAATGCTAAGAACCAAAACTTGCAGACAGGGTTCGAATTTGGACAGTGAATCACTTACCGTTCTAGAGTTATGCCCTTTATAACTTGGAAAATTGCTATTTGCTCGTTTCCGCGCTCTAACTTAAGTTTGTCTCATCTGAATTTTATGAAACTCCCACACAATAGAACCACAGCATTCAGACAGAGTTCGAATTTGAGTTTTGAGTCATTTGCCGTTCTAAAGTTATGCCCCTTTTAACTTGGAAAATCGCAAAGCTTGTAAACAGGGGCATTAGTGTCCTCAGACACAATCTTTTTTTTCAAAATACAAATAATTCCTTCCCCTTCTAAATGAAATCGTTTTATTGAAGAAATTTAGAATAACACAATTTATTTCTAAAGAAACAAACTTTAGATCTGAACCCCCAGCATATTTTATTCTATGTTATTTTTGTGCAGACATTTGGAAATATAGGAAAACATAGTTATCAATTTTATACCTTATCTAAGATGAAAAGTTTGTATGTTAAATTAGAAATGACGATCGAGGTTTTTTAGTTGGTTTCTAAAACCTGCTTTAACATTCTATGTACAAGAACAAATTTTGTTTTATATAAAGCTGATGATGTAATTAAATTTCAAATATATCTATAAAAATGATGCAACGTATTGTATATAATAATTGTTTTAATAGTCTCTCATAATTCTAGATAAAAAGGCGCTTGTATATGTTTTATTATTTTAGTTAATGATATTTTAGGGTTAGTTTTAACACACATTATGTTTAATATATGTAAGTGAATGATTAATAGTATGCAAATGGTGAAACTTAAATAAATATATTGAATCTGCATCTGGATTTTAATTTTAAAAAATCTAACTTCTTACAATGCACAGATATAAATATTTAAAGGACGAAAATATAAAACAGTTTTACACGTTTAACAAAATCGTTTAAAGTTGTTTATATGAATACATACTAATCAATATAAACTTATTAATGATTAATCACCAATAGAAGATAGGTTTATTTGAAATCTTAAGTATTTATGGATCGATCTAGCTATATGAATAGTAGTGTTGTAATAATCAAATTAAATAAGTAAATAAAAATTACACGTTTTGGTAAAATTCTTTGGGTATATACAAGATATTATAAATTCAAGAAGATAAAAAAGCAGGACGATTTTTGAACAGGTCAATCCCAAAAATGCTACTAAATAGAAAATTTGATTCAATAATTTTAAAAGTAGTAATTTTGCCAGAACGATATAAAGAGGAACAAAAGGAAGACTAGAAAAAATATTTCTTTATTTTTGAGTAGGCTACACAATTTGATATAACATTATATATTCAAATAATGTCAGTTTTAAATATCTTCTTCGTGAGATTTTTTATTTTTAATGGTATATAGTATAGTGACCTAATAGACCACTTTCGAGTTCGTTGCATTTCCGTCAAAAACTTTGTTTTAGTGAATATCTGTCTTGAATGTACGTTTAGGGGCATCGGTCACTTCCTTCCCATGTTGAGCGAGCGGGTGAAAAAATATGATGCTATATTGCACGAATTATTCGGCAAATTAAATTCTTATAATTGATAATCAGCACTGCTGTCATTAGGGAATTGTGATTAAGAACATACGGAACAAACATTATTTCTAGTTTATCTTGCATAATGACGATCACGAAGACGCTTGATGAACTTTAATAGTGCAGGGATACAGGCTGTCCCATCTATCTGGTAAATGACGTCATAAAGGCGCGCATAATTTACGAACTTTTCCGATGAAGGACATAACTCGAAAGATGTCTGTAACATAGCAGCAGGAATATATTGAAGTAAAAGGCCTATGATTCAACTCGAACTGTGAAAATATAGAAACTTTTTCATTTCCTCTCAGCTGATATGCCTTTTGTCTCCACAAGAATTTTTTCATCAACCTTTCGTATAAATATTACATGCGCGATGTTAGGAATCTTTTCGCAATATGAAATAACAAAAATTTTGCTGTTATCAGTCCGACAAAATTCATAATTGAAAATAAACAAAACAATTTCTTCATCGTCTTTATTTCAAATTCAATTCATTCTCACATGATAAACATATCAATTTCTTAAATTTGGTATTCAAATATTACATTAAATAAAAAAATAATCACTTATGAAAATTTTCAAAGAGTCATTCACATCTTATCATATATGCGGTTGCTAGAAAGGTTAAACACCATTCTCTACACCTAACGAAAGGAGTACAAAGAGTTTAAAACGTGTATCGTTAATCCCCCTCATAACTTTAATAAAACAGATATAATACATTTATTATACACGAAAACAGGAAGTTTAAACATTTTCTATTATGACGTATATGTTCTTTGTATGACTGTCATGATTATTTGTAATTAATACCGTAAACAATTGCCAAAATAATAAATAAATCAGGTACTGTCACTCCTAAAATGCTTTCTACATAGGAACAGTATTTCAATATATATACATAGATTTCATTACATTTCATGAACTTAATGAACCTTTTGACATGTTTACAAATTCCAAATACTGTCCTTTTTAAAATTTCAGATGAAAGAAGGACAAATGTTGAAAGAAGGATAAATAAAAAGAATAACCTTTATAAATACTTTTTAGAATGAACAGGTCGTTATCCCATTTGGAAACTTCTCTTGCATGCGAAAAATTTATTTGCGTTAATTCGCAAATACAATTCAAATGGACTTTCGAATGCGAATTCGATATTAGAATAGTATATGTTGTCATAATGCTATCCTTTTTTGATTATTTCTTCAGCAACTTTAAAACAACATTTAGAGTAAAGAAAATGATACAGGGTGCTTCACAGGTCAACATAGAATTTTATATAACATTGTCTTTCAAGCACAAATTTAATGAATATTGTCATTACATGACTTAAAATAATACTACAAAACAAAGAAACAAATCAACTATTTGTATTTGTACTAGACAACCATAGTACATATCTAGATACTAGAACATTAAGATAATATAGTAGAAAAACTGTATAAATCACAAGTAGATCGAATTGTCTGCAAATTAATTTTGATAAAACATTACTGATTTTAAAAGATAAAGTGTAAATATTTAATACCCACGAACGAAAATAATGTGCTTATCAGATGTTAATATGCTTACTATATATACACTATGCGCATCAGGTGCAATATAGTCGGTACCATTAATATTGTTACCCCCACCCACCACCAAATAGTCTGTACGACTAGACATACATGTTCATATCCTGTACAGGCATTATATTCGATGTAAATCAGTAAGTCAACAGATATTGTACAGAAACTCAATCTTTGACTTTTCATAACATGACAATCTCTGAATAATATAAAGTTTTGCGAATTTATTTGTCGCTTCTTACACATTGAACTTCAAATAAAGGATACTTGCATATTTAATAGATATCACATATACAGTTAGGTCTGCTTCATATAGTTAATTGCGTCTAGAATTAAAAGTACATTTGGTTAAAGTTAGTAGATACATTTGTTTTATAAAATAGAACTTTCATGTAAGTATCGTCATGATGCCGTGTCAATCAATTCATCGCATTTCAAGAGCTGATACTCGTGGCAAAACAATTATCTAAAGGACTTTTGAAAAAGATTTAATCATGATCAGTAACAAATAAACAACACTTTATAAACATGCGTCCGAAGCGCTTTTCTAAACTTACCTTGCGTGTGCACTTTTGTTATTTGTATAAAAAAAAACTTGCAACAAAATATAGATACAACGAGTTGTTAAAACTATTTAGGTCTATCACAAATAAGTGCAAGTAAAATTCCTCAAGCAGGAATCATACAAATACTATTTCATGCCCACACTGAGAAAAATGAATAGTAAATGACACTAGTTAGAGTAGTAAATTTACTGTCCACTCATTCACTATTGTAAAAGTAAATTTACTGGAGTATCTAGTACCTTCTTACTAACATGATTAGTTAGGATTACTAACAAGAAAAGTTCTCGTCAACTATTTGAATAAGTATTCATACTTTGTGTTTAAGTACACATCACTACTGTTACTAGTATACTAGTATACTAATACTTATTTTGTAGTATTCTTTACTAGCTGATGAGCAAATTTCACTTGGATGACTGGTACGCAGCACTAAGGAAAATAGTAGTGATACTAGTGCAAATAGCAATCTTTGGCAATCATACCACATCTTCTTTTTTATTTGAAATGTCCACACATTCACTATATAAGGAGTAAATTTACAACCCCATTTATATAACTTTACTTTTATTGATTATGACACTGTCTATTTGACATAAACTGATAAAACTATGATGTGCATTTTCTTTTTCTCATATGGCTAGCATTTATGATCAAAGTTACTAATTTTGAAGCATTTGTCAACTCTACTTACTAGTATTCAAACAACACAAATTAATTCCAAATATATACAGACTAGAACATAAAATGAAAGCATACAGGGTAGTTGTGTGCAAGATACCAAAATCAAACCAGAAAGACTAAACTCTGACAGTGTATGTGTATGTATAAAGAGTACTCTTGTCTCATTGGCACTCATACCACATCTTCTTATATCTATTTCTTTAATATATTCTTTCAATGAAATCTAATTGATATCTCCAAAAAAGAATCTAATTTCTTATGAAAGACATGCATATATATTTACAATTGAACAATGATTACAGTAAATAATTAAAATGTTTTAACAAACAAATTAAAAAAAATATCATGACAATAATCAATTGTACAACAATTAAAGCAAAGGTATATACATGTATGTACACCACTTTTGTCTCATTGAAAATTAATGAAGCCTTCACATGTTTTTTTAATACTTAATTTTCTGCTGTTTAGTAAGTGCACTTCATTATCATAACATCAACAGAGAAATAAAAAATGAAAACTCTCATGTGTGTACTTTCCTCCTCCTGTGCCACTTTCAATAGGCAAAAGGCGTATAACACCTTGCCTCTTCGAAAAGCTTCAGGCAAAATAGATACACAATTTACCTTGTCATTTGATTTAATTTGCTTTAAAAAAAATCTTGTATTTAAAAGCAGAATTTATTGTAAACCATGAAAATCATTATTGTAAATATCAAAATTCAATTTTCTAGTTAACCATGTTAACCTAGTTGACCTCGAGTATGAACCAATTACATGTTCTTCTGCCTTTCTCTGTTCAAATCTGTGACTACAGACACAATTTTTTTGTCAATTTTCCCTGCATCATTTAAATTCAAAAACACATTTTGAAAGAAGGTTAAGGTTTTAGAAACTGGTTTTGGATATGCAAGGTTGAAGCAATAAATTGCAGCCATGAAACCTGTGATAAGTTAAATAAATGTGTCACAGGAAAAGATAGTGTTATTATCAATTTTAAGCTCAAAGCTATTAGAGTCCATTGTTAAAAGTTTGTCACAGACTATCAAAGCAATTGGTGAAACTGATGAATCCTGTCCTGGAAAGAACAATATTTTCTCAATCTTCTCTTTAAATAAGGTGGCACAACTTGTAACTGCAATACACTGGCTAGCATCTGAAAAAATGAAGGAAAATATATATTTTATCAAACAGTTTACACCTTGGTACATATTAATGAATACATGCAATGGAATCACTCCAGCTATAAAACTATGAATAAAGTTCATTCTAGGTGGCCGAGTGGTCTACAGCGCTATACATAATGCAGGTGGTATTATCTCAATATCCTAACCGCATGAGTTTAAATTCCAGGCTCCCAGTGAGGAAAACAAAAATTTGCTGCTGCAAGTTTGCAGATTTATAAGTCTGAAAGTGTGACAACTCTTTAACTGATTTAATATATATTTAAAATGTACTTATTTGTCACAAATTATGCAAGCAACATACAATGTACCATGTAGAAGTCATGTCTTGCATTTAAAGAATGTTATTACAATTTGTTATTAATCAATATTAACTTACATTTTCTCTCCCCTTCTGTTCTGAGTAGAACAATTTGGTCTACAACTTCTTTTACTTGTGGGATGAGTTTCTTGGATTTAGTAAGGGAAACAATCGGACCTGTAAATTTGTCCAAACCACCATAGAATACATCCTCCAATCTGTCATCTTTTCCATTTGGACCTAAACGTGTGAATTCCATAAGTATCTGTAAAAAGTAAAAAAAAAACAATCACTTAAAAAATAAAACGAAAGCTAATTCCATACACAAGATCAGCTAATATTTTTTTACATTCTCAATTTTAATATTTGTTAAAAAAAATTCTCAATACTTACTACTAATATTAATATCACGTATATCTACAAGTTACTGACTTAGGACAAGTTAAGACCATTGGAATAAATAATCATATGATAAGTGCAAGAATTTTCTTTTTTAATCACGACATGTGAGATGACAAATCCTGAATCTTATTGTACATCTTTATAAAGAGAGTCAGAGAGACAGTATTTTTTTATTAATGAATTTAAACCTACAACAATTTCAAGTTAAATTACAACAAACAATATCACACCAACAATCAGAGAGATCTATGGCAACAGAAAAAAAGTTAAAAATACCTGTCTCCTATCTTTAAGAAATGGATATTGATCCACAAGCTCAGCAGCTGAAATAGTTCCCTCAACTACTGCCTTTCTTCGGGCAGCAAATGTTAGGTTCATCTTCAAATTGATTAGAGCCTCATTCTGGTCTGTCTTGATAAACTCTCTTTTGAGCCAGCCACAATGTAGGGATATAGCCGTGTCATCCTCAGACTCAGGTTGAGCAGGCAAAAAGTTTGCCATACTCCATGTCAGGTATACCTTCCCCCCAGAAATGTTTTCAGGAGTTGGTGCTGTATCCTTCTTTCTTTTTCTTGCCTGCACCTCAGGTAGATGTTTGTCCCTGGACTTCCTTTCATTTCCCCATTTATACTTCAATTTTTCCTTCCAATAAACCTTTAAAAAAACATCAAATGTTCTGAAATTTTGTTATTTTAATTTGCAATATCCAATATATGAAAATAATTTAATTTTGGATGTAACGCGTCTTCTGATTGGCTGACGTTGTTTTGTTTATCAGCTCATTGACATAATTTTGTCATGTGACCGTGACGTCATCAACGTTTTTTCATGGTTTACTCAGGTTTAAAATGGAATTTAGAATTAAATTATAAGAAATGACTGTACTATTTGTACAGACGTCATAGTTATAAATACATTTTAATAATAGGGACACAATTTGCATACATCATATTAAAATTTAATCCACTTTCAATAAATACTTACTCTGACTGATTGCAGGGGTACGCCACTTATTTTGATTAGATATGGATACTGCCTCAAAAGACCATCAACTATTTGATCATATAGTTCTTGAGACGGATACCTGTTAGTAGAAAATTTAAGTTGAAATTAAGCTCTTTAACCTGTTATGTACAATTGTATATTTAAAAAAAGACTTGTATATTATCAATGCTTGCAATTACTTTATCAAATGATTAAAAATGATGTCCATAAATTAATTGTATAAATAAATATAATATGAGGCATATTGATACTGTAAAGTAACCTGATTAAATGCAGAAAAAATTAGTAGTTTATGACAATTTTAGAAAATTTAAGAAACATTTGAATCATTTTCTTAGTACCACTACTAAATGCTTACAATCCATTTTCATACTGCGTTACATCTGTGTAGATGACATCAAGCAGCCTGGTTCTGTCCACTCTTTCAAGGGGTTGTTGGCTATCCAATTTTAGTCTGAGGCCCTGTGGTATTGTTTGAACGGGAAAAAAATAAATCCTTGGCCAGATTTTTCTGAAAAATAATACATAATATGAATATGGTTTTACATGAACACAACATAATCACCATGTATTTCGAAGGTTTAATGAACACATTAGAGGGGTCATGTAGCAAGACTGGTAATGCAGCAAACAGAGCATTAATTTTCTTTAACAGAGGTACAATGAGTTTTTATGTTTTGTGGAGGTGTATGAACAATGATGAATAAAAAAGAAAATATTATTATACATGCTGGGTAATCAGAATCAGACATCTGACATATAATTCATAGCATAGCAAAAGGACGCATACAAAAACTAGATGCAATGGCCCCTTGTCAACTGTTGATATTTTCAGGACCATCTTTCATGTATAAACATCTAAAAAAAATGACATAAATTTACTAATTGTCACATACCTGTCATTTCTAACAATTGAGATTGGCGATGAGCTAACTGCAGGGCTGGTCGGTCTTGATAGAGGCGTTAATGGACTTGGGGGTCTAGTGATGCCAGCTGATGATGTGGAAGGTGTGCCAGCTGATGATGTTGAAGGTGTGCCAGCTGATGATGTTGAAGGTGTGCCAGCTGATGATGTTGAAGGTGTTAAAGCTGATGATGTTGAAGTTGTTAAAGCTGATGATGTTGAAGGTGTTAAAGCTGATGATGTTGAAGGTGTGTCAGTGGGTGATATTCTACCATTGTTGCTTTGGGTTTCTTCTAATGTGCTTGTTCGTTTCAACTTAATTACTCTGAACTTTTAGGATTCTGCCAATTTCAATTTCTTCTAAGTTTTCCAAATCAATCCACTCTGTAACGTCATTGTCAAAATATTGGAGATGACAATCAGATTTTTGTATCTCAACTTTGGCTTCTACTTCATTTGCTATGAAGTTCATGTTAGCATATTGAGGAAAAACAATTTTTTTGGTCTGAGTATCATGACTTAGAATCAAAAATTTTCTTTCCAATGACATTTTTCTGAAATAAAGAAGATCACAATAAATAAACTTAAACAAGGCAAAACAAACTTAAGTTAAAATCAAAATAAATATTTAACTTGTAACTCATTTCAGTAAATATAGTAAAACATAAGTTTTTAAAAAAAATATTTGATTAAGGCAAACTAAAATTTGTGTGTGGAAAGTTCAAACCTCTTTTTTTTCTATTTGAGTATACTAGTTAGTAACAAATATGACAGAAAATATTGCATTGTGCAACTTAAATATTAACATGTATACACTTACTGGCAATAAATTAAAAATCCAACTTGAAATTTCAGAACAGGACCATGTATTTCATGACCACTAACAACAAGTCATTTTTTTTATACAATCCAAAAGTGTGTGGTTCAACTAAATCACTTATTTTAATTACTTCAACACATGCAGTGTTCTCAACAACATAAGAATAGAAGTGTCTGTCAAAATGCTTTGTACACAATTTTGTGCAGAGTAGATAAGGAGCTCCATTTATTACTACACAGTATTGAATTTTGGAGAAACAAATCAAGTGTCCACTTTGATTACAACTAACTACAGAATCACCACTACTATATTCTATTCCCATCAAAGTAAGTGTCTTGCAACTGAAAATTTCTGTCGAATCTCCAACTAAATGTTTCAATTCTTCTTGAAACTCATATCGCAAGAGACATATGGGGAGTGGATGGCCATCACTTGTTTCTAATTGTCCGGAATTAAAAAAGTTTTTAGATGTGTTAAATATAGTTTGGTAAAACTGGTGGCGCTCTGCTAGTGATTTACAAATATTTACACGATTTTTTGTTCTATTTACAAGTTCCTTGAAGTAGTTATGCTTGCCTTCAAATCGTAAAGTCTGCATATGAATTAATGGTCCAAACATTAAAATCTGATTCGGGTAGTGTAAAGTGTAATGCATCTTTGGTTTGATTGTTTGATCTGGAAAACTTTCACAGTAACAATTAAGGAATTCCTCAATTATGTCTTGTAGTAACAAAACATGCCCTCGATCTAAACAAGGGGCACACGCATAAAATATAACATCTTTGAGTAAGAGAAAACTGTTCCATTTCATATTGTTTCTTGGGATATGATCTCCAACCATTAAAGGTAAAAACCTTGTCAAACACCACATTTGAGCTGCTGTTTGTTTAACATTTAAAGCTCTCAATACTTTAGACAAAGTTATAGGCTTATTGCTTTTATCCATTCTACAGAAATTAAATTTCTGAATTTGATTATTTATTGTTTCCAGGCTAAAGAATCCCTCTGTAACACAGTATTTTATAACATTAGTTAAAACATCGCACACCACACCCTCAAAAAGATCATGTGCCAAGTCTGATGGCATTCCTGATATTATATGATAATATTCAAGCTCATTTAAAACTGAATTAGACTTTACTCCATAAACTGAGGACAAACTTTCATCCTGCTGAACATTTTGAAGCTGAGAATTATGCATTTCAACAGATCGCATTCTGAAACCATTGCATTCCTTAATTTGATGCATATCATTTTTTGTAACAAAACAAAATCTGCAATTACGAAGGCAATTAAAACTTTCCTGAAAGCCACCTAAAGCATGGGCAGCAAGGTTATCAGCAACTACTACACTGATTGAGCCATAAAATTTATGTACATCATATTCTTTAACAATATCAACACCTTCAGTTTCAAGTTTTTTAAGATCTTGAATAAGAGGTTGTAGTATAGATTTAAAACCTTCTGTTTTAATAACTGAAGACATGCACAATGTTACTAACTGAATGCTAGAAAACTGTGATCTATGCTTTGGAGGAATATTGCCTAACATCATATAAAATGCTCCTATTTTAAAATTTTTAACCTTATGTCCTATTGGGTTACTTGCTGTAAAGTCATCATAATACAACATAATTTCTAATGATTTATAATCAGCACTAAACAATTCATTTTTAGAATAAAATTCACCATCACTAAAGTCTCGAAGAATGCCGTCTGTGGAACAATGACCATTGATTACAAATGAAAAGACATCATCATGCTTTAGCAATTGCTGAATTGTTTCTAATATTGGAATATACTGATATTTGCCTTGTTTTGAACTAGTCCTGTGGCTTGCAAGGTTATACTCAACTGGTTTTACAAAGCCAAAATTCTCAATAACAAACTTATTTAAATTGTATTCAGAATTCAATGAATTACATGCCGATTCAACAGTGCTCTGACAGTTCAGACTTTCTCTTATATCATTTTTAAACTCTTCATTTTCAGATGTTGCATTAACTATTTGAATGATATCTTTTGATACTTCTGCATGGTGATATCCTATCATTTCACTGATTTCTTTTACAACTGTAACAATTGCATTTGAAGGTAGTTTTGATTTTTCCCTTAACTGAAGAAGAAATAAAGCAAATCGTCTTTTAAAATCAATTGCAATTGCATTGTTTTCTACTTCAATGTCCCCTGTGTCTGTCACATCATTAACTACAGGTGCATTTTCTTCATGCTGTCCATAATCTGCAAGCGAGTCAAGAGCCCGGTAATCCCGTATATTATTTTTCCACTTTGAAAAATGTTTATGGTGAAATTCAGGGTGTTTTCGTTTCACATGTTTAATATATGAACCCGTCTGTTTGTATGTCCGACAACATCCATCTTCTCCACATGTGATTTGAAAATCATTATTCTGTTCATGCACAAAGCGATAATGTAGAACAAGTTTTGATAAGTATCTTGATGAAAAATTACAATATAAACATAAATGCATTCTGACTCAATTCCCTATATTTATGCTACAACAATCCTTGTTATCTTAATAAGTGTACAATTGTAAAGTTTATATTCTATGCTCTAGAATGAATGTTTAAGTTTATGCATTCTGTATGAAAGAAGCTGATATTCTTTCCATTTCACATACAAAGGATCTCTCATGAACGGTTCGTCTTCTGGGTTCGAAACACTTTTCTGAATTTTATTGTTTTTTTTATCAGTGTGATTTTTAACTTCAGCTAATTCAGTGGAGCTTAAAGAAAAAGGAGATCTGCTTCTGTCGTCAGATTGCAATGAAGAATCCTCAGCTGTTTCTGACTGTGATTCTGAATTCGAACAAAAGTTATTTTGATCATCAGTACAAGTATTTATTTGCGGGTTTTTAACTTGATCAGTGCATGGTGTACTATCAGTTTCAATTTGATCTGCAGACAGCAAAGAGTTAGACTGGGCTTTTCTTAAAGTTTTCCTTTTTTGAATTTTTCTCAACTTTCTTTTCTTGCGATATGCATCTAAACTGACCTTACTATGACGTCCCATTCCCTGTGTAAAGAGATACGAAAGAATATTTTAGGCCTTATGGTCTATTAAAAATTAATGTTATACATTGTATATATATCTAAAATTGTTAACCCATTTATAAATATTTAATGCGAATTTCAACTCAAATTTTTTTAACCAGATCTGTTTTATCAACACATGTGTATACATGTATCTTTTCATTGGTAGAACCCCGCCCCCCAAAAAAAATCATTTTAAAATACTTGTATGTTAGATAAGGATAATACTTTTTCGGGATCCTTTTATGGTAAGGGTGCCTGACTTCATTAGTTAACTATTTCTTTTGGTCAATGAACTTAACAGTACCATAAACAAGTCACATTATTGACCAATTTTGCATGGCTTGAAATTGAAAATGACAAATACTATGGTGATGACCTTTCTTTAGTTTAATTTTAGTTCTTTGTGTATATGCACATGTTTCACTTATTGTGAACAATAAAAAAAAACTACATATACTGACTACCTAACCTACCAACAATAACATGTCATTGACAAATGCTTTCCCGTTCATAGACTTCATAATTTATTTTTTCGTCAAAATTAAAAAAGTTAAACTATCTTATTTTAAAGCGGAAGTTGCTGTTTTTGTTTACGATTTGTTTATGTGTATCGTTCTCCTGTGGAGTGAGGAGCACTTAAATATATGGCGATTTATATCTTATTTACGTAACAACTTACAATGACTACAATAAATAATTTATTAATACACAAGAGGTAGATTTAGGGGGACAGCAGTGGCGGATCCAGGGGCGGTATCGGGGTTCAAACCCCCTTTTTATACGATCAATGCATTTGAATGGGTAAACATGTAGTTATACCCCCCTTTTTATCCTCTGTTAAATTTGATGAATCCGCTCCTGTGCAGTTACATCATTTCATTGTCAAATTTTTACCATCTTATTTAAAGTCAGAGCAAAGATTTAGAGCAGTACGATATATATATCACCGGATCACATTGTATAACTTTAATACAGATTAAAGGGCTGCAGAATTTTCAAGGCCATATACCTTCAAAGTTCGAAATTCGTTATGATAAATAGAATCATTTGTAAATACAAATGCATTTTAAATATTTTGAGTCATATTTCTGTGTTGCTTTATATTCACAATGCTCAAATATTAATATATTATGCTTAAGCTTACCAAAATCTTGAAAACGTAGCACCGTTTCTGTCTTCTTTGTCTTTGTTCTCTGTGGCGCGAAAATGACCGGCAGGAAATAGTGGAAATCTGATACCGAGCATCATTTAATCTTATCATCTACTTATTTATAGACGACTGATTACTGTTGCAAATAGTAGGCAAATCAATTACTAACTTAGATAATCAAGTACGAACAAAACTAGTAGTGTATACTAATTATTTTTGTCAGTGCAGTTATCTATGAAAATTTAATGTTCATGTTCATGTTCAATGAACTACATTCACCACTATTAGCGTGTATGCATGGTCGTTGATTTCCAAATCAGCAAGTTGAATCTGACTATGAGACAAATTTCAGTAACTGCAAGTATTTTTTTCGGTAATCTTAAGTGTTCTACTTATTTGTGTATGGTGTTGGTTTTATACCATTTCTATATAGGTAAATGCTTATTAATACTGCTTTCATTGTATTTCTTCTATCAACAATCTTTTATGCAGGTCGAGCTTTGTATACGGGGAAGGGAGGGGGTAGAGGGCGTATACAAGTTTAACCCCGCTACATGTTCATGAGCTTTTTTGATGTCAGGAATATCGTGTGTGGTTATCTTTTAAGTTTTCTTTTTTAATTTTAGAGATTAATTATCCATTGGAAATCCGTTATAGTCTATTTCTCTGAGGTTGGAACGGTTTAGTCTTATGTCTCTTGTTGACGATAACATGTTAAACTCAGCGAGGAGTCTCAATTTTTGGGTAATTCAGTGTCTGTCTTTTCGAAGTATGTTTCCAAATTTCCTCATTTATCTGTATCAAAATATCAACAAACATTGACAAACAATATAAAAGAATGAAATATACACTGCATGTCAAACTTCAATTCAATCAGTCAAGCATGGGACATACAATGATCCACAATTACATTAAAGCTCATATAAACTTAAATAGGAACACACACTGTCGGAAGATTCTGACTTTAGACAAATACATTATTATATGACGCTATATGAAAGCGACAGTAGTTTACCGATGTTCAAATCTCGTAAATCGATAAGGAAGAGACAAATCAATTTAACAAACAAAAACTGAAGAAATGACATGAAATCAAAAGGAGCGAAACCGGCGAAACAATATTTATAACCGAATGTTTTAATAACACATATATATATATATATATATATATATATATGAGTGATTAACATCTTTTATTAACCAAACAAGTTTGATTTTTTACTTGATAAATTTTATTATCGGCAATTTGTACATTTACTTTTTATCTTACTGTCTAATATTTTTCAATATCGTGGACAGGACCTGATACTCGAAAATATTAGACAATGACGTAACACAACAGTACAGTGCAACGTCACCTGTTCATGTCCATGCATGTGACTTCATTCTGCATACAACCGAACAACTATCACAACGTTTTGTACGCGGAAAAGTAGTTTTACTAACAAATTCCTTTTATTTTATATTCTAAACAAAAAAACAAAAAACATTTTGTTAAGGCAATTTGCCGAAAAAAAAGAATAACGGAATTTTATTTTTTGATACTGACTTCATCAGCTCGAATATCAGCTCGCTCAATCGGGCTCGCTTGATATTCTTGCTAGAAAAGTCAGTATCAAAACCAAAAATGCCATTATTCTATATATCGTACCCTAAAGTTGTCTTCGATAGGTCTATTCGTGATTCCATACAGGATCATGAATTATTATTGTAACGAGCTTACGACCAGACATATACCGAGATTGACAATAGTATTTTTTCCCTCATGACAACCTCAAATTTCTTCCACCAGATGATTACGGAACTTTGACTGCATTAGATTGAAAAGAGCTTGCACTAGTAAGACTTTTATAAAAAAAAATCCTTATTGAAGATGTCTGATAGTTATCCCTTTGCAGCATTTGATTTTGTCAGTTTTTATGGAACTTTTCCCATTTTGAATTTATCTTGGAATTCGGTATGTTTGTAAATTCTATTTTTCTTGGTTGATACCCT